GGAAAGCGGGGAAATGGGGAAGTGGGGAAACAGGAAAGCGGGGAGACCGGAAAGCAGGGAAGCGGGGAAACGGGAAAGCGGGGAAACGGGAAAGTGGGTGAGCGGGAAAGTGGGGAAGCGGGAAAGCGGGAAAGCGGGGAAACGGGAGAGTGGGAAACGGGATAGCAGGGAAACGGGAAAGCGGGGGAACGGGACGCGCACCCAGAGCACGCGCGACCAAAGCAACCGCACCCGGAGCCAGGGCATTCGGAGCCAGCGCACTCGGAGCCAGCGCATCAGTAGTGAGTCTAGCGATACCGAGTCGCCGCGAAGCGGCGACCGGGAGCGCTAGTACCATATATAAACGCCGCGCGTCTGTCACGTTGGGGTATGGCAGCTACCCGAAGGAGGGGTGCGATCGGTACCTTTCGACAAGGTATCCGAGCGCTCTTCATTGCCCCTCAGGCCTTTGGTTCTGAGGGGTTGCATCTCAGTGCCAGAATTCGCCCTCAGAAGTGCGGAACATGACGTCATCGAGTCCCCCTCGCCACACCACAGTGCTGCCGAGAGCGTTTCCCTCGGGGCTAACCGCGGATGACCGCGAAGCATGCGGTTCCTGCCTTGTTTTCCCTAGACATACTCCTTTGTATATCGTCCGCTCGCCGGGCATCCTCTATTACTTCTTCTTTTTACTTTTTACTTTCCTTTAGAAAAGCTTCCAAGTTCCTGATCGTTTCAACACGCAGTCAGAGCGCATATTCGAGGCCTAAATAAACTCCTAACGGTTAATCGAGCTCCTCCGACTCCAAGAATATTTTACTGTTCAGTGTACCCTAAGGTGTCTGTCTTGAGAATATTTTTCTGTCCCGTGTTCCTCGAGAAGTTTGTGTTTCACTATGGATTCAGCGATTGAAGAACCGATCGCCTCTCGAACTCGCTCAGGTTCAAGATCTTTTTCCGACGCAGGGAGCATTGAGGCAACGTCAACACAGAGGTACACTATCAGCGGAGAACCGTGAACGGATTCGCGAAGCTGATCGCATGCAACATCGACAGAGAAGACGTCAGAAGGGCAGAAGGGCACAGCAGCGGGCTCTCGAGACGATCTCCGTCAATCGCCCTCCCTGCTGGGAGCAATCGCCCTACGCAACGTGTTCCGAAGTTCTCTGTTGACTTCCTCCGAGTGTTCGAATTTTCAACGCTTCACATCGCAAGGAATGCCCGAGGCTGCGACACCGGGAGCAATGTATGCGCCAGCAGCGCATCGATCCAGCGTTAGGCGCTGGTGCTGTAATAATTGTGATCGATACGATTAATTCACCGGGCTTCAGCGTGTGATCGGTCAGGAAATCTTTACGAACTATTTATTCATTACATCTTCTCCAATTCTCGCATTAGAAGCTACTTTGCAGCGTTGGAGAGTAAACGCTGCTGACGCTCCAACGGGAGGGGTCAGTGAAGAGTCTGAACCACGTGCGGAGGAAAACGCTGATAATTGGTCTCCGAGAATGCTCGTCCACTCATACGTCCTCTCGGGATCTATGATGAGTCCGAATAAAAAAAATCCGCAGCTGCCGGGATCTTATGAGTATTCCGCATGGTCAATCGCATAGCTGGAAAGAGCCCCCTGGTCAGTGAGGAGCGTTGTAGCATGTCGGAATACTGCCGTAGGGATGAGTTTCTTTAAGTAAGGGCGCTCGAGCAGTCGATGTTGGAGGGAGCTGTGGATAGCAGCAGCCATGTCACCTCCTCTTCGGCAGATTGGAGGGCTCCACAAATAGAAGTTATCGTGAGCTGGTCAATCGATTGGAATCACCCTATTACTTCAGGAGCGGGCTCCAGACGATTGGGAAGCATCCCCTTTCCGGAATGCGCCCGTATGGATGATACTCTCCCCGTCGAACTCGAGAATCATAATACCTAGGCTTCAAAAAGGTTGCGGAAATTGACCATCGGAGAGGAATACCCTTCCTCCGAGAACTACTAATTATCATAGGAACATGGGTGCGTCGAGTTCGCCATCCCGGGCCTGCTAGTTCAAGAAGGGGGTTCTTGAAGGCGCTTCAACTCCACTCCGATCTGAACATACCATCCTCAGAATGTTTTCGTTCAAGCCCGGGAATGTCTGTTCTGAGGGCCAGTGAGAGATCCGTAGCCTATGATAATGACACTTGTGAGGGTAGGGAGAGGGGGTAAAATCGAAATCGACCAACGAAATGGCGATTTCTTATTCATGCAGTCTGTAATGATCCTTTATGTTGGTGAACGGCTCATTCCCCTGATAGTGTTGCTCCCCTCCCCGGATAGATCACCAGAGATTTGTGGAGGACCTTTCTACAGCTCGATACGTCTCGAATGTACGCTCACAGAGAAACGAATGACTCGAGCGACGGGGACGGGGGTATATTATCGACTGATAAGACCGTCGGTATGAGCGACTGATTTTCACGCAGTCAAGGAGATTGCTCATTCGGGTCTGAGTCTATCATGTATGAGCTCAAGGGAGGGAACTCAATCCCCCATCGCATCGGAGCGCAATTTCCGCGGGCGGAAACAGCAATCCTCGCCACCGAGAGCACAATGATGCTTACCTTCGGAACCGATCCATATACTGGATCGGCGCTTTTCCGAGTACGATCTCGAACTTGATACAAATGCTCTAATCAGAGAGATCCCGCACTCACAACATCAAAGGTGAGCTCTATTTGAAAAGATTGCGACTTTGCTCGGCATTCATTCCCACTCTCTCGCAGACCGGCGATATCGAGACATTCCTTGAGACCAATCCGTGCCGATTCAGAACGCGATCGTTGATGCGTCGAATTTTTGGCAGCGACAAGGTCTCGAGGATGCTCGGAACGCCGCCCGGAATTTTGCTACGCACAGTGAAGGTGTCTTCGAATCCTCCGAACTAGACACATCTATCTCAAGGCTGGGGACTGTTCGGGAGCGGATTCTGGGGCGACGTAGGCAGCTCGATCCGGAAGATTCCCATGAGCCCAAACATGCGGACGACTCGTGCTGTCCGCCCGATCATTCTGGAAAATATGCACGGAGAGTTTTCCACGCCGTCTGAGACCTCACACCCGGATCCGCGAACACGCGGTCATGTACATCATCCATCGTCGACTAGGCCAGCCTAGCGGCTCGGGCTCACAGCCTCCGAGCTCTTGGGGGAACGCCGGAAAGCTCCCTTTGAATATAGAATTTCGAAATCGCATCGAAGAATCGCGAGCGTTAAAATCCGAATGATCGATTTGAAGCCATCCGTTCCCCGGGAGTCCTCAATGAGAAATCGCTGTTGCTATTTTTGGAGCCTGCAGGCTGGATCATGGGCTCCAATTTGAGCTGATGAGCGTCTATCGAGATCGGGGCGTACATTGGGGGCTGGTCAACGGCTCCGCAGGGTGGAGTGATCGACGCAAGCTCGGACCGAAGATCATCCGTCGGCCACTCCTTCAACCGCGGAGCTGTCCGTTTCCACGCATTTCGTCATCAGCCTGCGATGCACGAAGTCAAATAGAAAATTTCGTGGAGCTCGGTAGGGTTCGCCCAGGGGAAATGGAGAGTTCTCCCTCTGTTCAGCGCACCAACTTCGAAATCCGGAGTGCACCAAGTCACGCCGGCCCTCCTGCTGAGGATCGTCGAATAAGCCGAGGTGAGTCAGCCGTCGAAAGGAGCCATAGTTGCAAGCGCCCGAATTAACAATTCATCGCATTCGCTGCCGGCGTGGGATTATTTATTCATCACTAGAACGTACGTTGTAGGGAATGAGTAGACGACCCGTGAGAGTCTCTCGTCATTGGGGTCCTGATGAGGTGCTGGACTCGTACGATTGCGTCGCGCTTGCCTCAGCCTTCTTCTTCTGACGCGAAAGTTTCTCGCGCCAGCCGTTTGCGTATTGAACCGCCTTCGGAATCATATCCGTTTCGCTCTTGATCTCGTCGAGGAAACCCCACAGCTCGAGCAAGGCGGTGTCGCCACTGTCACCCATGTAGGACTTGATTGGGATGCCATTATTCCTATGGACCATGAAACTGCCCGGGTGGTTGTCCACTATCAGAGTGCGCTCGAGGGGCGTTCCCAAGGTCTCCAAGTCTTTCACGTAGACTTCTCTGAAAACGTGGCAATGCTGCCGATAGAATCTGTACTGTATGCAACGCTCAGTATCAACGCGGTCGAGCATCGGGTCCGCATAGTTTGGCTGCGCGGCGGTGAAAACCGCGACTTCATAGTGAGGTTTCACTTTCGCGAGGAAAGTTTTCAAATGAGGCCGAACTTGAACGAACATGGCTCGCTTGTCGCATTCTGTCTGGAAGTCGAAATTCGGGGGTGCTTTGTATTCAACGTGTAGGAGAGTTTCGTCAAAGTCGAGGACGAGCATCGGTTTCGAGAGTGTTTTCGCGGGTATCAAAAACTTCGCGGGTAATGGATGAGCCTCTCGATACAAGGCGAGGTCCTTGGAATCAAGAACGAATTTCGGATTCAGATGCATGGAATCCATGTGGTCTCCCACAGGAATCTTTGTTATCTTCGCGGAAAAGCTGTCGAGTATTCGGAACGTTCGAAGCGAGTTCCCTATCATGACCGCCTCGTGAGTTCGTGAGCAACAACGATGACTCTGGCGATGGGGGAAGAGCTGGAGGTGCGAAACCCGAGAAGAGGTGTTCGCTAAGAAAAATCGCCTTTGAAATTTAGAAGCTTACTCCCAGGATCTTGGAGCGGGCGAAATCTCTTATACGGCTGGTTTCGAGTTTGTAACTTTGATATCTTCCGATTTGGCCCTGCTCGACATGTTCGATCACCGCTCGTGTCTCGTATCTTATTGCGCAACGAGCTAGCCCTAAGCTGCAACGGACTCGAAGTCAGACATTTACGGGCCTATTGTCTCACCCGATGGGAACTCCGTCATCTGTTGAATAATGACTCCGGGAACGGCTCATGAATTAGGGTGTGACCTTCGAAAAGAATTTCCCAGGCTGATAAAGTCTCAGCTCTCGGCCTCTGCCCCATGCCCTTTCTCAGCCGCAGAAAGCGACATATAAAATCATCAGCGCTCGCCAGAGATTTTCACAACCGTCAAGAAGGACAGCAAGGCAGATAAAATGAGAGCTTTGTTGATGATATTCCTGTTGGTCGCAATCTTCTCGCAAGGTGAGCTTGATCGGTCTGCGCCTCGATTTCTGGTCGAATAGGCCTCTCGGGATGATGATCCAACGAGGTTATCACGATTGTTATCGCTTCTCTCTCATCGGTATATGGCTTGCGAGTTGACACCTGTGCGGCGGTTTCAGTCGCTGTATCGGCTTACGACCTCGGATGCCCGGAAGTCGACCACGGAAAGATGTGCATTTGGAGGAACGATCAATGTAACGATGCCAAACCTTGTCCAGCGGGAGCTAAGTGTTGTCTCGACAGCCCATCTTGCGGCACTATATGCGTCCAGTAGCTCGAAGTTGGAACAGAATCCATGAAAATAAATATCTGATTATTTGAGGACTCAGAAGTTTCGGGAGCTCCGTGCGCGTTTCACGACCTCCGTGGCCTTGATCCGACAGATCAACAGCTTCTGTCGAGGCTGATCTCTAAGTTAGAAATGATTTATGATTAACGTGGGAAATCTTGTGAAAGTTTGCTGGGCGAATTCTTGGGAAAATCTGAGTGCTAGAATGCCTCCTTGTCAATTTGTTCATTCTCCGTAGCCGATCTTCCGCTCTCGACTGAGGTACGGCAACACTTGCGTGTTCGGAACAGAGCCGTGAGTCGTCTCCTTGATCCAGGTTGCCCGCCGAAGGTTTATGGGAAACTACAAGTCTCGTTTGATGATGATTGTCCAAGCATGCCTTCTCGGTATTATACCACGATTACCCCTTACCGAGTAAACGAAAGCGTGACGAGCTGCAACTCTGAGTACTCGCCATGCGACTTACTAGCCTCGAAATCAATGAGCAGAATAATGAACCGCCAATCAGTAGGCCATTTATGTGTGTGCTGCAGACACTCCCAGCAACACCGTCGAAAATTCGGGTTCAATCGCCGCACTTTTGACTGGCAGATTCATTTGCTCATAGCAGAATTCACTGACACCGGGTCTTCATTCCTCATACACGAAGTGGCCTGGGGAAGTGGAAACCGATGGAGAGTGCTTGAATAGCAGAAGCGTGGACGCAGCCGGGGCCACAGCGTGATATCAAACGCGGAAATGGAGCGTAGTACACTTCGACAGACTAAATGAGATTGTAGTCTCAGTGTCGAAGTACTACATATGAAATTCGGCGACAGAACTCTTCTTTCTGCAGCTCGAATCGGGAAACAGGTCATCATATAGGAAGAATCTGTTCTAAGCGGAGCAGACCTCGTCGTACAAAAGGCAGCTTGATCCTGATTACCTCTCGAAAGGAGTGGAGGAACGCTGCTTCCCTTCGACTTCCGAAACCGGAGAACGGTAAGTATGATAATTCCGCGGAGAGAATCACGCAACAATATCGTAGCTCGGAGTTCTCACAATGAGCTCCGGCGACACCGAAAAATTCCATCCACGGCGCAGCCGAGTTGTTTTCAGGAGAAACATGCTCTCCACGCCAACTCCCGCGGATCCGTGACGTTCGATAGCAGCGCACGGAAGAGCTATTTCGGTGGAGCCCGAAGATCCATCTCATAACTGTTCACAGTTCAGGGGATTTTACAGACGCAACTCGAAGAGGGCGGAAGAGCAAAGCCGCAAAAACTTATCTGACCGAACTCAACTCCTCAACGTTTCTGGTTGCTTACGACACTTGCTGTCACGAGAGCATGGCTTACTAGGGATATCATAAGTCTCTACTGATCTCTCCAAATTGTCCAGGGTCTCAATTTCATAGCCCGGGCCCCTTTCGGACGGCTTCGGAGGGCACGCAGAGAATGCGGGAGGTTCCCTCCGAGTCGGGGGAGCATATCGGATGCATTGGATACGAGAAACTCCGAATGGCATCAATGAGTCGTTAGCGCGGAAGATTCTCCCCTGATGTATGTGAGAGGAATCTCTAGCCCGAGACAAAGCGTCCTATCGAGGGGAAGTTGCCAGATGCGACCGGAACGCACGCGAAGTCCGAGTTACGCCACCCTCTAGCGGATAAACTTTCACGGAATTCTCCTTCAGGACATATAAACGAGCTCGGGTTCGTTGCGGGGCATTTCGCCACAAGACCCCGACGCCGATACGCTAAGATCGCTCGACGACAACGTAAGTCGTCCTTTGTTCTGCTCTTATCACCGGCTCCTACTCCCTCGCGTCGGATTGATTCGTTTTCGAACGATTGTCAGTCGCGATTCCTACTCTCGCGGCCCCAGGATTAGCGACCAGACTAAGGAGAGTCACTGAGCTTAGAGTCCGGGAAAGAAACAAACCGAGGAGTATACTCACTCACATCGTCTGTGTGTCTCGAAGGCGGACCGAACGAACCTCGAACGTAGCTCACAATGTGGCTATTGCGAGCAACAGTATTGACGCTCGCAACGGTCTGTGTTCTCGCATCCCCAAAATGCCTTGTCTCGGAGCCGGATAAAGAGGCTTTTGTCTCGGAGATGTTCCGCGAACTGGATTCGGAGCTGCATAAAATACCCGATCTTCGTGCAAGAATTCAAGGTGTCATCGATGGCAACGCCTGGCGGGAGGTACGTTTGAGATTCGCCGTGTCGGCACCCCGCAGCCCCACCGGTCCCGATTCTCTCAGGTTTCCTACGTCTCTTTCTGTTTTGATCCTTTCCATCTTCCACTAATCACACTGAGAGGAGAATCGAAAAAAATCCAAAATCCCGGGGAATTTCTGTGTTCTTCCCCGTACACGATTCCGGAGCTCATTGGAGTCTTGAGTCTCGATTCCCCGAGCCTGATAGCCGCGATCCCGAATAAAGTAGCCTCGGCTAGGCAGCGGAGAGCATGGCAAGCCTGAGTTACTTAAATCGGTTTGTTGGAAAGGGTCGGGGAATCTGACCCGAGCTACAATAGCGTTCAGGGAGAGCCTCGGCTCTTCACCTGGCAGAAATCAGGCACACTCGCAATTTTGGTTAATTCTTTTTTCGAAGTCTTGACAAGAGAGGTATGACCTGGGACTCTAGAGCATGGAAGATCGAGCGGATCGAATTAGCGGCTCGCTTTCCTCACGATGAATCTTGATTCCCATTTCTCATTCGTTCCGCCGTAGGGCTCTGATGGGGAGTACTCGAGCGATTACGGCGAGAGTGAGGACGCTCCAATCCCAGTAAGTATATCCTACCAGACAGCAAGCTTCACGGAATTCTCCGAATTTTTCTATCCGTCTGATTGAGAAAAGTTCTTTTCGGCCCCTTCTGTTAGGTAGGATATACTTACGCTTCGCTCCTTATTCTCTGTTTGCTGCAGTCATAACTCGGCTCGTATTCACTGATCATCTAGCATTTTTCCCTTGCTTGTTTCGCTGCGTGAAATCGGACCTGGGAGAGCCTAGATCTCAAACGAATCTTCGCTGAGAGGCGACGTGAGCTTCCTCTCCGTCCCAGTCTGTCATCCTCATTGCCTTCCGCTAGCCAAATCCTGAGGTTTCGTTCATCCAGCTCTCTCTTGCTATATTCCACCGAGCTCGGATGCATGGAGTAGCTTTGCTGTGAACTTCTGTCTCACCGAGCAAATCTAACTCGTTTCCATCCCAGGGTGTTCGGTTCCGTGTCCTTGACGCGACTGGCGGAGCAATCCTCCCGGAGGAATTCATCCCCCTCAGCACAGACACGATAGCCCATTTCGCGATGGAGGTTTGGGAGTCGAAATTTTACTAACTTATTTCCAAAATATCAACTATTCATCATTCGGTATCCCAAAAATAATCGCAGACGCATAATCCATTGAAATACATTCATATACTATTGCAGTATAAAAAGATCATAGCTCGCAAGTACGGAACCGGTATCATAGGCTTTTCGAATAACGCTCAGAAAGGCTGCTTCGGGATATCTCGCGTGGGAGAGGCCAAGGGCCCCGCTGCTTGGAAAATCGTCATTCAGAACGGGAGCGGGAAAGTAAGCAATCGAAGGAGATGTCGGCCGAACAGCTCTCATGAATTACCGATTCCAGTCGACCGATCTCGGCAGTTTCATACTATTCGCATAATTTCAGATCATAGCGGACGACATCTGTGTCCGGAAGGACATGCGTGTTTGGGATAAGTATATTGTCATCATCGTGAAAAATGTGTAGGGAGCTCATCTGGGGGCTCCGAATTCCGCTGCATGGAGAAAGATCGACAGCCCTGAATGTTGCTGAAACCTCTTCTGGGGAAAGAGCTGTGATGGGGTCGCGGTCGCCCACCCGATCTGTAATCTCGTTCGCTTGAATAAGGATTTCTGGGGAGTTCAAGTTAAAGCCCAGACGCATACCGGAGGATTGACGACCCAGAAATGAGTCGCGATCGAGCATCGATTTCCGGATCGAGCTTCGAAAAACCCGCAGCGACCGGAGAATAAGAGTTGGAAACCTCGCGGGAGTTCTCGATGATCTCAAGGTATCGTTACTCGCTCTGCATGCGATTATTATCAATAACTCGGAATGAAAGACATGAAATTGAAAATCTTCAACTTTTATTCGTCAGAGATCTCACGGAGAATTCGCTGGCGATGAACAGGAAATAGAGAGACAATTGTTCCGAGACCGAAACCGAGAATGGTGGAGAGTTCATCATTATTAATAAACATGGTATCGAAAGGCCTGATGCCTCCTCAAGGTAGTTAATCTGCTGTCAGCTAAACCCGACGTCTTGGATGACATTCAATTGCATACCGAATCGACTCGTTCAGAGAGAGACCCGATATTGCAAAAACGGACAGCGGAATAACATTCTCCGTATCCATTCCGTGAATTCCAATCAAGCCTCCCCAGTGTCTTTCAATATAGCTCAAGCTTGTAGGCTTCCACGCGACTTCCAGAGTCTGGTACAGATGTTGTAGAATAGAACGATGTTTGTCTCGAGTCCGCATCATTGATGTTGGTCGAGTCGACCAGCCCGGCAAGTCGCTTTTAGAGCCACGTGGTGTTTTTTTTTCGCCAAAACTACACCAATTCTGCCACTTCTTGTGCCGGATACGAAGTTTGACCGAAGGGTCCCTGAACGCAAGCGCGCCGGGGAATATCCCGTCTATCACCGAGATCAGGACGCCCTTCGGGCAACCTGTTATCGGCCGATGAATGTGACCACTTTTCCGTCGTAGGTGAACTAGGAATCTCCACATTTCCCTACGACCAGGAACTCCTTAGGAGAAAATCCGATAATCTCAGCACGATCGCGGGAGGTACCCCGAGAGGGAATTCTCCCGGAGCAATATCTCTTTCTGAACGCGATCGAAGACGTGTGCGCTCCGTCTGAAACGTCGCCTGCGAGCACTTAGCTACTTCGCCGCCTCAGCCCCAGAACTGCTGCTTCGGCTCCTCTTGGACCGAGCGTCGCGGCACCGCAGGGCGTGGAGCTATTGGAGCGCGGGACGCGTCATCATCGAACCATCTCGTTGGTGCTACTGCGGTAAGATATCGCATAGGACCGCTGGGTGAGACAGTGATCCCAACGAGGAAGGATGCGCATGGCCCTTATGGGGACTTTTCCTGGAATCGTTCCCTCATCGATGCCGATGGAGATATTCTCCGGCAGTCCGTAAAACTTCGAGTATCACCTTCCTCAGAATTTTGAGGCCACGTCGCGTCGTGAGGGTCTGGCCTGCGGAACAAGCTGTCTCAAATAGAGGGCCGAGCGAAGCGCTTCGAGGAGTTGTGCCTTCGAGCGGCATGATTTCGGGATCCCTTTTGACATTCGAAAGATAGCCGACGGGCAATAATCCGCCTGACGATCCGGATCGGATCTCCCAGATCGCATCAGAAAACGACGAAAAAAGAGACGATTGCCCATTCGCAAAACCCTCGTATTCCGAAGCTCCAGACATCAGAAAATCTTTTGTCTCATCAGCAAATGCTCGGGGGTAATATGCTCGAGCACGACAGTGTGTTGTAATTTGAATGAAGAGGCCCCGAAAAGTGAATACGGTGACTTCATAGCGCGGTGAAAATGTTGTTGATGGGTCGACATGAAAACAAGAGAAAAAATCAATGCATCATGATCGCGAAGCGCGCTCGCTCGAAGCGGGCAAAGGTCAGGTCTGTGCTTCAACGATTACAACGACCGGGCTTCAAAGACTCATCGCAGATGCGAGGCTCGGCTGTGGATATATGTACATACTCCGAAGTCCAGCCGAAGCGAGTCAGAATGCGCAATGGCAAATCTCAAGCGATCATCCACTCCGATGGCGCGTTTGAACAATGCCTGTGATTCGAGTGCTAGCATAGAAGGGAATGATTAGCGAATGAAGAGATGACACCAGAACGACATCAAATTATTCTCGGATAAACCACAGAGAGACATTTAATTCGACTCCATGTTAGTATTCGGCTCGTGATTGGGTGATTTCCAATGAGGGTGGATCTCCGTAGGTTTCGATCCGTGTCTGACCCCTACGGAAGTGTCGCGGTGCCGACCTGAACGGAATCAGGGAGGGAGACTTCCAATGGAATTAGGAGCGATGTTCAGTGATGATTTCAGCAGGGCCTCGACCTCTTCTGACCCTCCCTGCAATGAATTGTACATCAATAAATGAGTCCTCTTTTCCCCGATTGCGCGGATTGGAAACGGGGTGTCTCCAGAGAGAGCTCCCGAAACATGTGAGGAGGAGGATCTTGAGAAATCGTCTCGTCGTATTAGCGCATATGACCTCACTGCCGGCTTGTGCCGATTTGTTCCAGGTATGGTGCGAAGACGGTCTCACTTTCACGAATCCTCTGGCTGTTCTCCCTGTTATCCGTTTTGCTCGACTTGATAATGTACCAGAAATCTCAAGGCACAAGGTCTCCGCTGTTTCCAAACAAGAACGGCGAGAGGAATCGTTTAATATAAAGAGCTAGACTCGACTAGTTCCAGACTGTTCCAGGAGACGCGCGAGTTGTTGAAGTGAGTGGGATGAGTACCATTTCAATCGTCGTATTTCCGTTGTTTGGAGAATTCTCAACTTCTATGGTGTGAAGCGCTGGACGGCGAGACTCGACTTGGAAATCTCTGCGCTTCGCTCAGGGAGAAGCGTCCGACGAAGAGCGAGTATCGGAAAAATACATCTCGCAGAGTCTCTTCGAACAAGGGCGGTAACATGAATGGTCTTGCTTCCACAGCAAGTTCGCCGAGGGAGGTCATCCAGCCGGTTTTTCAGACGGCCGGCGAATTCACCGACCTTTTGCACGCCACTCTCTCACCTTCTCAGAATTTTTTCGGGTGCTTCTTTCGGAAATCCGCTCCGCCGGTCAAATCTTCAGTGACCACCCTCAAGGTATGCTTTGTCGGTGAATTCGATTCCTAGCTTGACGCTGCATACAAATTTGATCTTTCTACCGAATTAGCCGAGTAGGTCCCCGAGATCTGAGTAGAGCATTCCCGACTCTGCGTGTGAAGCTCACCGGAGCACTAAAACTGTGAAAATAGCTAGGAGTTCACCAATATTTGACCAGGAAGAGAGATTGTGGACTTTTGTGCAGCGTACGTTTGCCAGGCAGAAATAGGAGAGTGATTTTTCCAATCCCTATTCCATCGCTAGGATGAGGTTTCTTTCCCTGGTCGCCCTCATCGGGGCTGCACATGCAGCGCCTCTCATGGAGGGCTCGTGCTCTGAGGATTGTATCAATTATTTGCTGACGGACGCCGGTGGACCGAAGCTGCTACGCCTCTACAGGGAGCTCCTGAAACCTGACACCGGGACTCTGGTGAGCTCAATGGGATCCAGGAAGAGTGCTCTTGTCCACGAAAAGCATTGGCTTCCTCAAGAGAGTCCACATTCATGAGTCATTGCGGGATTCCAGTCCTCGCGAGCGGACGCTCGGGGTTTCCCCAATGTTTGACAGACGTATGAGCCAGGAATTTTCCAGACCCCAATCGAAGTCAATAGGCAGACCTATGAGGTGTCTTACGCGAAGAAGAACCTCATCCAGAACGCACTCCGAAAGGGTATTAAGGACCGTGTGATTGAGGACATGCTCGACGATGCTGCCATCGTCCCCGTGTCGTCTTCCAACAGGGTGAGTAGCAAGAACTTTCAGTTTTTTTTTGCAGATCTACCATTGATTGTTTCCGATGCCGTTAGTATTTACGGTCGTCGGGAGATGCACCGAGGTATAAGGACCTGATGAAGTATGAATGTCTCCGTACAGCAAATAACCCAGCAGAAAGTGGAGCCGATCCATGAGAGACGGCCGAGCCACGAACCTCTCTCTGGTGGACATCGCATCTACACCAATAGCCAGGGCGACGTGAATCTCGATGTCAAAGGCCAGACCCTCCGCGTTCCAGATGATCTCACCCGTCTCCCGCAAATCGTCGACGACACAAACACTCTAGACGTGAGACCCTTCTCAGTTGTGGAATCCGTTGCTCTGATAGTCTTTGGTTAAGTAGCTCCAAGGATGGGTCTTCCGAAGGGATTCGGTGGGGTATAGGATCATTGCTCTTGCGGTTTTCGGGATCCGAATTCTGAGTACGCTTTCGTTCCTAGGATATCATACGGCAGCTGCAAGAACTCGGCGTTCCGATTAAGCGGGATGGAAGCCGCGTAATGATCGGGATCCCGTCGTCGCCTCAAGGCCTCACTCTGCGGGTCGCCATCAAGAAAATTGACGACAAAGTCAGCAGCGTTACAATCACAGCCAATGACGACAAGTACACTTTGCCGGGCGATGAAGCCAGACTCAATCGCTATCTGGCCCGCGAGCCCGAGGTCGCGTATCACATCCTGAGGATTTTCTCGACGCATGGCGTTCCGGTAGAGTACGACTCGGCCACGAAGACCCTGAAAACTAAACTGCACTCAGAGGAGGAGATTCTCGGGTCCAGAACAGCACTCGGAACTCATTCCATAAGTCCATCCGCGACTTCCCCGAAAGTTCTCCGCGTCGGCTCCGGCAGCTACTATCTGCCGGATGACTGGGAAAGACTCAAGCGTGACATACAGACCGGCGTTGTGTCGCCGAGGAGCGTCACGGAGATCTTGGAGTCTGAGAAAATCAACCCTCCCCGCGATGTGGTTTCTGCGATCCGAATGAAGACCACGACGCACTCAAGGGTGTGTGTTTGGTTTTGGAACTATTCCCGATGATCCGATCGAGATTGACCTAACTTAATCTGTGGGTCGGAAGTCACAATTCATCCACATTTTTTCACTTGTTCCAGCTTCTCGTGAGAAGATACGGGGACGAGGTCACTGTCGAGCTTGGATCTCAATCGTATAAGCTACCGGGGGATCAGATCGCCCTCGAGAAGGCTCTGAAAGACAACGATTTCCCCATGGAGTTGGTGAGGGATTCTCTGCTGAGAATCGGGGTCGATTCGCGGCGTATCGGCTCAACACTCAAGGTCTTGACGCCGGCCGGCGACGCGTATTTCAGTGGACTGCCGACGACAAAGCAGTACGATTACAAGATCATCCCGAGATCGAGGGGCGTTGAGGGTGAGGATCATATCGAGTCGAAGGCTAGGGAGATTTCCTCAATTGACCTACAAACAATAGCACCGTCGTAAAGTCCGAGGAGCATGGTCAGAACTACCATAAATGAATGCTTGCAGTCAGCGCCGGCTCTCAATCGTATGATCTCCCCACGGATAAGGCCCGTCTAGAGAGCGACATCGCATCCAAAAAAGTGCTGCCGAGGACCCTGGTGGACGCTCTCAACGACGCGGGAGTCTCGTCTCAGATGGACATAGACAAACAAGAAATGCTTATCCAGCTCAGTTCGGGTGAACTAAGGTGAGATGTTCCCTCATGACGGAAGCCACGCTGGGGTAAATTGACGGAAGCCCACGAGCTGAACAATCCGGGTTTTTGGGCACAAGGATGAGTTTCATCGTTGTTCCAGAATACCGGTGCGATTGAACATGGGTACGAAGCGAGTTGGATCTCGCCTGCGCCTCAACGTTCGCGGCTACGATGGCAGCAAGGTGTACACCCTCACTGTCGGAGAGAGCGGTAGCGATAAGATTGAGCTTCCCACTGAAGTTCACACCCTGAATAATTATATCCGCTCCGGCAAAGTCGATAGCGATCTTCTGCTTCAACTTCTGAGTGAGTATTGAGCAGCTGATGTCCACGGCAAGACATATGAAATGATCAGAACGACCGGGGACGCGCCAATCGGAGGAGGCAAGCGTTAACCGGGACTATGACTTCCCCAGGCCGAATGGGAGTGTCCCATCGCTATGACGCCACAAATAACTACTACGTGGTTACAATGAATGACAGGACATACGAAATCGAGAAGTCCAAAGAGTGAGTGGATGAAACTGGTCCTCCCTCCATTTCCCTAAAAACCGATCATCATTGACTGGGAAGATCCTCTTCCCTTCCTCACCCGTGTTTACCCTTCCTCCCTTGTAATCTAGGAGCAGCGGTGGCTTTTCCATAACCGAGGACTGCAACTCGTGCAAGGAAGACGCAAGCTCGCCGCACGCTCAGGAACGCATATTCTGAGTCACGAGTGAGGAAGCCTCTGAGGCTCCGCGTGATATAGATGGTGATGGCCCGGACGACGCGGATAGCGCCGCGATCGCATGGTGGATCAGGATTGGCGGATGATATTCCAGAATAAATATAAACCCACAATTCTGGATGCAGGACCTCGTGTTCTCCATTAGAAGGCTCGGGCTGCATCAAGAGTGATTGCCCAACGAGGGGAAAGTCTTCGGCAGTCATGAGGCTTTCTGAACATAGCGAGGCACCAGCCCGATGGCGAGCCGGGGTTCATGTACATGGAAGGGAAACCTCGGCTCTAGGAGTCGATCCGCTCCGTGAAGCCATTTACTAACCTAGAACTTTCTTACTCGAAAATATATTTTGTGACTCGATTCTCGCGCAAGATATCATTCGGAGGAGCATCGGGTTTTCCGGGCATCAAGTCTGTGGGCCATTTGTTGTCAAGGGCGATTTGTTTTTCGATCAAAGAAATGAAACTCGTGAACGGAAATGTTCGGGGAAGGGGTCGCGTCCTCCATGATTTGCAAACACCGTGTCTCGAGTTCCGTCACCTAGATGGGAGAAGATCAGAAGATACACATAAAGACCCGTGAGCTCCGCGAGAGGGCTCTAAGCGCTCGTCAGAGCCGGGAAGGGGTTACATCGTCGGATTTAGGAGAGCTGCCGCCACGGTCCTAGGTGATCCCGCCCGGATAGCGCGAATGATTGGACTCGCGGGTAGCGTCGAAATCTAGCTTCGGGGGACGTTGGCTTTCGCAGTGGCTCTCGCCTCCTCTCAACCCTCTCGATCTTGGTTGAGGGCGATTGAGAACACTCATTAGGAGATCAGACGTACGCAACGTAACTCAAGCTAAGAGCACTTCGGACTCGGAGCCGACGATCGGTTCCTCGACTCATCGTTATTCTAACATCAGACGACTTCTCACCATTATGCTGTCGAGAGCGAAACACATGATTTTCAAGTTTGGCCTGAAATTCAACGCAAGGTCCGCGACGTCGGATGGAGACTGGTGAGTTCTTTTATCTTTATTCTCAGGGGGGAACGCCTCGATTCCGAATCGAATTTTTGTGCGTTCGGCCGGCCACCGATCCTAATCGAGATCTGATCCTCCAGGACGCACTTATTGGACCTTCCGGACGAAATGATCGAGCTCATCGCGTCATTCCTCGACCAAGCATCGTTTTGCTCGTTCGTGAGCACCAATTCCCGTATCCGTGATATCTGTCAGAAGTCTCTGCGGCGAATACGTTCGACGATGATAAACGAGAGCATGATTCTGATACTTTCGCGAGACCCGTCGCAAGTCCGCGTCTTGGATCTCAGCAATTGCTGGTCAGGCTCTGACCTTATGAAGACACTCATCGAAAAATGTCCATATCTCGTGGAGCTGAATGTGGTCAACTCGTCCCTATCGACTAAGCACCTGGTCGCCCTTCTCGAAGATTTGTATGAATTGGAGACCCTCAGCGTGACGCTGACCGAAGCCGGCAAGATCACAGATCTGAAGCTCTACCCGAGCATCAGAAAACTTTACGTTGAGTTCACGCCGGATCATTACGTCATGAACTTCATGCTGCGTTTCATAGAGCGGTTGCACGAGCTACTGGATCTGCATGTCGCCGTCATAGGGAATTCCAAGAACGAAGTTTCCCTCGGGCTCCGCGACCTAGACCCTTTCGTTCTCAACGAAGTGAGCAGGTTGGTTTACTCGGCGAAATTGAGCGGTGTTCCGTATTCCCTCGCTGGCCACGTTCTCAACAGGGATGACTTCCTGGTCCATCATGATATCATAGGCTACCTATTGAACGACTTCTTGTATTTTGAGAGGGAGAACCCTCGGATTAACTTCCTGAGTGACCCCGAGGATTTTGAGAGAATCCGCCAGCCCTATAATTATATTGACTTTGAGGATATCGATGGAGATGTCAAGGAGTTCACGGACATTTACCGTCCGGGTGATATTGGGCTCAAAATCGTCTCTACGTTTCGTTCGTTGCCGATGCCTGTGATGTCTGCTCTCTCGTCTTTGGTGGAACTAGATTTCACCAAGTGCCATAGCGTTTACTCGTCGAAATCATGGTGGTCTCTGGCTGACTCCTCGCCAGCTGTCCGCAGCTTGGCCCTGCCGACTTGCGCTATAGCGAGTTTCGATCGCAACCTCCGGATTCCGCACATGTCCGAGGATATCTTGAAAGCTCTTCGAAAGCTTCGCCTAAAGGACCTCCATTTGGAGTCGGCAGGAACTAGTTGCCGCTCATGTGAGGTGAAATTCGAGGCATTGTTCGCCAAGTTCCTCGGCGATTTCAAGCATCTTGAGGAACTCACACTGGATGTCGGTTCGGTGGGCAAGAAGTTCTTCCCGGCCTTGAGGGAGCCATGCTGCGTCAGGACACTCAGAATCAGGGCATGTATACTCAAGAGCTTGACAGGAATAGAAAGCTTCATGAAGAATTGCATTCATTTGCGGCACTTCAAACTAGAGTCGAGCAATCTCCCGCTTGCCTCGTCCAATCTCTGGAATGCGCTCAGCGATTCGAAGTTGACGCAGCTCTGTCTCGCTTCTGATAAACCAGATGCGATAAACCTACGGGTTCTGAAGCTCAACCTGAAGCAAGTTTTGAGAGCTCTTGACGTTCTGCACATTCATGGAAGGTACGTGGAGAACGTTTGGAGGTTGCGTCGGCTTCTGAAGAAGGAGGTCAAGAGGGCGAATCGCTCAAGGGAATGGAATCCGGTGCAGCTAGTTGACGTGAGGCAAGGCTCACTTGGCGGCATGCATACCGCTCGAAACGCCAGCCTCCCCGGGCGAACTCTGTGCTGCACGAAGCATTTCATCGCCGAATTCAAACCTGTCGGCTGGAACACCAATCCTTGAATGGATCATTTTGCATCCCGAAGCTAGTCACCTTATGGGCTTACACAGAAGATAAACTATCCTTCTGTCGTGTTCCGAAAGATACACGACCAATGAGGCCCTTGTATTATAAAAATTTTTCTGTGAAAATAAAGTTCCTCATCAAACTCCTCCTAATATTTAAAGAATGGATGCATGGATCTCGCTTGAGTGGGTCGAATCTATGGAATATGGTGCCCAGTCAAACAAGCTCGTCCAGAATTGTCGCAGGATATTTTACAGATTCGCGCAGTGAAAAGGGTATCGAGCACGTGAACTTCATCCAATCTTCATCCGGGAAGATATGAGAATAGAACGCTCGGCGCAAGTGGTTCCCGAATTCTTTCAAGCTTGCCGCGGTAACGAAACTCACTCGTAGGCTGTAACGCATGAGGCCCGATATTCCGGCTCCTTCAAGTTAACTCTGAGGATGGCGTTTTGTGAAGCACCGACATAGACCGACCGAGATACTTCATCGGAGAGATCCCGCTTCTCTAGCGAAGTCGAGCGATCTCGTGAACAGGGCTTGCTCTAGAGAGTAATCTTCTACATCTTCTTCCGCTACGTGAACGAATCCTAATACTGATCCTAATACATGAATCCGGAGTTCGCAGAATCTTCCAAAAGCTCACCCGAACCAGGCTCCTCTTTGATTTCGTTAAAAGATTAGGTCGGACTCCGGCCGTACCGCTCGATTGTCTCTGACCCGCTTTTCGCGGATTTCTCCGAAATTTCCGATTGGACGCTCTCAAGCCGAGCGGAGCACCCTCTGTCTTCGCTAACTCTTCACGGTAACCCTGTATTCCACTGCACTGAATGCATGTAAGATGAGTGATGGATTGTTAGTCTAAGGAGTACCCTCGCGGGACGAATCAAATGCAGAATAGAAACGTCTTTTGGGTGGGGCGAAGCCCCGCTAACGGGAGACTAGGACTCTCGGATGAGCCGAACGACAAGGGATCCGGCTCTCGCTGCCGGACTCGATTGAGCGGGGTTTCTTCAGACGAGCCATGACGCGCGAACGAGGTTTCTCTACGAAGAAGATCATCTATTTCATTGCTGTCATCAACTCAGTGCAGAACTTCACGTCTCTCGACGCCGAGCAACCTGCAGACATCGTCACTCACTCGGCAGTTGCCGGGACCCGCAGAAGCACTTCCTCCGCGGAGCCGTGAAGCTGTCTCCGATGACTTGTCTGCAGATTTCGGGATGCAATCTCGCGGGAGCTATTTTGCGGTTCCTTATCAGTCGGACGATAAGGGTTCATAATCAAAATCGAGGCTCTTTTCGATCAAGTCGGAGAGTTAATTCGGGTGAGACCGCCCGTCGAGCAGAACTCTGCTTCGCAGCGTATCCAGTGGAGTAAAGGTAGACAATTCTCACGAGCGCGTCAGATTTACTCTCGAAAGAAAAGCTCCCGCTCACGATTCAATAGATCAATGCCGAGATGAGGCTGAATAGCTCGACGCGGCCAGTGTTCAGCGGCCAGGACTCGATCGAGGGGTCGCTACCGAACGCGCGCGGATGTTTTCGGTCACCGTTCTTCATATCACCTAGGCATAGACGGTCCTCTAATCCCCCAAGCGGGATAGTCCGCGCTCGTACGCGGGTCGTCGCGTTTCGGAGAGGGAGTAGAGGCTCTGGATAGAGATCATTGACTACGCTGAGAGATCCTCCGCTGACCCCGGCACCGTCCTCGGCTTTGAACCACTCGCGGAGGGAGCCGTCGCCGGAAGGCGCTACCGAGCTTGAAAACCGACTCCAAGACTCTGTTCGAAAGTCTTTCAAGTGTTTATTTCACCTTGGGTCGGTATGTATCTTTAAAAAATAACAATAACAGTAACAACATGTATTGGGGCATGCTCTTATTCTTTTCCTCCGACGGGGTGAGGGGTGGGGGATGCGTTCTGTCAGATGGGGTGTGAGCTGACTCCATCGATGCTGCTGACAGCCTTTTCGTTCCGGCAGTGGAGCAGGTGGTATCGCCCTCCCTATTCTCCGCATAGTTTGCACACACAAGTCGCGGTTGGCTCATGAGAGCTTGGCGTCGAGCAGGTGAGGTGGTGGAACCCGTGTGCTTCGAATCGTGTTGTCAGGTGGCGATCTCGGTTGTGGCTTCCTTTCCATGATTTTCCTGAAGGATTCTCGCCAGAAGGCGGAGGAATCTCTGCGGTACACCGATCTCGGCAAGCTTCTGAACCACGATGTCTCTCGCACCGGTATCGAACGCCACTCTGAAGTCTA